ATAATATTTAATGTATATATGATGAGTTATAATATTTAATGTATATATGATGAGTTATAATATTTAATGTATATATGATGAGTTATAATATTTAATGTATATAGATGACTTTTATTGAAAGAAATATATATTACAGAGTGATGTATTGAAATAACTGTGTGTCTCTCGGAATATATCGTAGATTACTTATGTGTCATAATGCAGTGTCTAACACATATGCTTCATGGAATGTTTTATTTAATGCCCAACTGTTATGTACAATTGAAAATTATGTTTTCATGCACTAATTGAAAATGTTAATTATTGAAGTTCTTACTCTAAATACAATGTTTTGTTGGACGTAATCCATGTATACATGTACAAATTGAATGTTCGTATTACTATGTAATGCACTTTTTATCCTGAATATAGTATATTGGAACTAGTTTATACATATTGAATACTTGGTTGTAGTTTTTAAACTGTTCTCTTCCTTCCGGTTGGTTACTGGAAAGGACCAATCACCAACGTGTAAATGATACTGGGTAAGTATGCGTCACAAGATAAGATATCGGTGCAAAGTAATGATGCAGCACCTTTGTAAACTAAGCCACAACACATGAATGAATAAATGAATGACGTACATCGTAGGATGTACGGTGTTCTAGATCTATTTTAATGTATTGTGTCGTCACGCTATTGATAATGTTTTCGTATGCGCATGTCATTCTTGTTTTTTTAGTGTGCTTTCTTTTTAAATAGTGTGAGTGTAGATAGTAGTCAGTCGCCCTTACAAAAAGGAAGCGCGCTTGTTGATGAACGAAATATAGGGAGAACTAAGGAACACAATTCATTGACAGTACACAGGAGGTAAGATTATCTTTTGATAGACATTTTAAATTAAGTTGTCATTTAGTTTTGTTTGTATGTACCTTTTGATATAAAAGATATATCACCTTCTCCTATTTAAACAGGAAGTAGTTAACAGATATATTAACAGAGATGAACCTTTTTACAATGTACTTGCCACTGGCATAAGAGTAGATGTAAAGTGGGGGTATTGCCTCCATCCACCTCAATCCGATTGTGGTTCGATTGAGGCAGATTGAGGTAGATTGAGGCAGATGGAGGTAGATTGAGGTTCAATTAAGGTACGATCAAGATACGATTGGGGTACGATTGAGATACGATTGAGGCAGATTGAGGTAGATTGAGGTTCGATCGAGGTACGATCGATGTACGATTGAGGTACGATTGAGGCTCGATTGAGGTAGATTGAGATACGATTGAGGTACGATTGAGGCAGATTGAGGTAGATTGAGGTATGATTGAGGTATGATTGAGGTTCAATCGAGATCTGAATGAGGTTCGGTTTATTGACGCATCACCTTCTGTCTTGTTAGCTGTAGGGCAATACCTAGGTGATAGTAGATGTGTTGATGTACTTATCCATCCGGGAAAATGAAAGAGTGTTCTACGTAAGTGCACTCGTCCATGACAGACGACACCTATATAATTCTATTTTTGTTTTTAACACCACTGCCTTCCATCAGGATCATAGCATGTAATGGTACATGTACCTGTAGTGTTTATACGAAAAATAAGGAAAACTGATCACTTTGTGAACCTGCATATCCAGACACTGTAGTAAGAACGTGGGTATTTAAATGATAAAGGGGGTCATTTTCTTGTGTGTCTTTTGCGCCATTTAGATAAAGTTTTTTTCAGTCTGAAATTTACCATCACAGCAATAGAGTTTTTCTCAACAAAACCAAATAAAGTCCAAAGGATGAAAAATTAAATCCATTTAGATTGTCCAACAACCAGTATTAAACATTTAATTGAAATTTTAGTCCTTTATCATGAAAACTGATTTACTGTCATCTTTTGCCTGAAGCAATTTGTAGGGAAACTAGTTTCAATTGTTATTACTAATCATTTGCACAATTCACACCTAGTAACAATCTGCCAACAGTATACTGTGTGAACATCACATCACTGTTACTATTTCAGGGTAATTAAACCATACCAAATCGTTCAGTCGTTTGTCAACATGTCAGACTTTTATTCTTTTCTAATGACAACAGAAAGTCTTAGATAACAATAATTTAGGTTTAAAATTACCACATTCTTGTCAAAGGTCGCATGATCAGACCCACTTCCAGATTAACTCGTTCATCAACACTATCTTAGTGATAAAATATACAAAATTCAACAAGGTTATTCAGATTTGTATTTTGATGTGTTTTTATCTTTATAAGGAAACATTTAATCAAGAGTTGACCCTGTCCTACAGGTAAAGAAGCACTTACATGCATGGTTAACTTGTAATACCCTTCTGGTTAATCTAGTATCAATGTTAGTTATCGGTTTCTCCATCACACATTGATACATATAAATATGGATAACGCTAGCTGCGAACACTTTGGTCTTGCAACGGAAGGTGCCAATTATACATAGTGATATATAGATGTTGAAACTGACACTTTAAATGTGTTGATACTTTGTTTCCGTGACAGAAACCAAAGAAAGTTATTAATAGAGGTCATAGAAAGGAATTTTAGCAATTCGAGGCACCGTTAATGGAGGTTTGTGTTTTGCATTCACAGAGTGTCTCTCGTCTACAGAATGGCATACTACTCTAGACAAATTACGAAAACAATGATGAAACAAAAACGACAGCAGTTAACATCAAACTGTACGAAGAAATCAAAATTATCACTCAATGGCCAATTAATTTAACATTAAGATCGATCAACGCATCCTAGGACCTGTCTCCATCAATCTGACGATCATAAACGTCTAAGATACTAACATTTTCATGTTTAAATCAATAATTTGTTTAGGCTCATAGAAAAGGGAATGATACGATACATTATAAACTATTTAATATCGTACAAATTAAGTGAAAAATTGATGTAAAGTTTGCTGGGGAATCAGTTTCAATAGATGCCTTGAAATACACAATCATACCCTATGGATTTGTAATGGTTGGTAAGGAAACTGAAGAATGTGTAATATGTATATTGAAGAAGGAGAACTGCCTGATTAAGAATGTTTAATATGTATGTTTTAGAATGTGTAATGTCTGATGAATAATGTGTAATGTCTGATAAAGAATGTGTAATGTCTGATGAAGAAAGTGTAATGTCTGATGAAGAATATGTAATGTATGCTGAAGAATGTGTAATATGTATGCTAAAGATTGTGTAATATGTCTGATGAAAAATGTGTAATGTCTGATGAAGAATGTGTAATATGTATGCTGAAGAGTGTTTAATATGTATGCTGAAGAATGTGTAATGTCTGATGAAGAATGGATAATGTCTGATGACGAATGTGTAATATGTATGCTGAAGAGTGTTTAATATGTATGCTGAAGAATGTGTAATGTCTGATGAAGAATGTGTAATGTATGCTAAAGAATGTGTAATATGTATGTTTCAGAATGTGTAATATGTCTGATGAAAAATGTGTAATGTCTGATGAAGAATGGGTAATGTCTGATGAAGAATGTGTAATGTCTAATGAAGAATTTGTAATTTCTGATGAAGAATGGGTAATGTCTGATAAAGAATGTGTAATATGTATGTTTCAGAATGTGTAATATGTATGTTTCAGAATGTGTAATATGTCTGATGAAGAATGTGTAATGTCTGATGAAGAATGTGTAATGTCTGAAAAAGAAAGTGTAATGTCTGATGAAGAATGTGTAATGTCTGATGAAGAAAGTGAAATGTCTGATGAAGAATGTGTAATGTCTGATGAAGAATGTGTAATGTCTGAAGAAGAAAGTGTAATGTTTGAAGAAGAAAGTGTAATGTCCGATGAATAATGTGTAATGTCTGATGAATAATGTGTAATGTCTGAAGAAGGAAGTGTAATGTCTGAAGAAGAAAGTGTAATGTCCGATAAAGAATGTGTAATGTCTGATGAAGAATGTGAAATGTCTGATGAAGAATGTGTAATGTCTGATGAAGAATTTGTAATTTCTGATGAAGAATGGGTAATGTCTGAAGAAAAAAGAATTTGTAATGTCTAATGAAAAATGTGTAATGTCTGATGAAGAATTTTCAATCTCTGATGAAGAAGAAGAATGTCTGATTTCTGTTTCACAAAATGAATTTGTTAAAATGAGATTATGAATAAGTTTCCTTTTCAGATGAAACAAATAAAAGAATGTTCCATCTTTTGTAGCCAGTCTTTATATGGCATTTAAGTTAAATGAGACAGAAGGATAGTAATTGTAAACTAATTGTGTTTATTGTATATATTATAGCGCATTATTTTCGTTTTTAACAGAAAAGAAACAACGTAGACGTTCGAAATGACATCACAAAAATGGTCAAAGAAAAGAGTCAAACTCGTACTGGTAAGTTATTGAAGTATTTAGTTGCTTTCAGGCCGCATGTATAGGGAACCAGAAGTTGAGCATATAAACTGCGAATTGTACCTTAGTGTTAAACATGTCACCCATACATTCCGTCTGAAGGTTGTGTTATACATCCATTGCCTTGAATATTTTAAAGTTTTATTTTGAAGATGAACATACATGTATACATGTTAGAGGTTGGGTAGGACAAAAGCTGTTTGTTCATGTCGTAAATAAAATTAGTCGAAAATAATGCATAGTCATTTAAAACCAATAGTCAGTAGACAGGTGTATGGTTGTTCATACTTGTATGGTAATGCCAGAAACAAGCTACACAACTCGGATTTAACAATAGGAACAGAGGGCCTGTATCGCTCACCTGGATATCTAAGCAATCATGGCACAATATTCTCCAAATAGGACCCAAAAGGCCAATCCTTATAGCATATCTGTATTTGCATTATCATGCTGAGGGATTGTGTTTATAGCTTTAGGGTGGAGATCTCAACTATGTCTAAGTTATGACTTATAAACTAGGTCCCTAAGGTTGTAGCCAGACCCCATGGTTAATAATAATATGATGACTGCATTCGTCTCTTTATTCTCAGCAATCGTATATATAGTTGTGGGGTGGGGATCTCAACCATTTCGAATTTATGACCGAGGGGTTACGTCTCCAAGGATGGGATAGACCCTTGGACCATGTGTATTCGTCTCTTTATACTCAGTAAATGTATATTTGGTTATAGGATTGGGATCTAGAGTGTTTCCAGGCTGGGACTCAGACACACGGTCTTGTGGGATGAGGCCAGCCCAAGGGTCAATTATAATATCATGATTGTGTTCCTCTATTTATGCCCAGCAATTATATAATTAGTTCTGGGTAGGGGATCTTAATCGTTTCAACGTTATGACCCAGGGACTTTGTCTCCAAGGGTGAGGGCAGACCCCAGAGCCATCATGGAAACATATGTGCATTCATCTCTTTATACTCAGCAATCGTATTATTGGTTATATGGTGGGGATCTCAATCATCTTTAAGTTATAGAATTATGTTTAGCCCGGCCCCTTAGCCTGGGGAGTCAGCCTGTTCATTTGTACAGTTGATCATCCCTATTAACTACGGATGCTTCCAACAAAATATAGTTGATATTCATCGCTTAGATCCAGGAAAGAAAACGCTTAGAAAAACATAGCAAAGTTACTCTTTTGGCCCCGCCCCTCAGTCCCCTAATGTGTCAACCCCATTATTTGTACTGTTTGGAATTGTCACCACCTTTAGGATGCTACCAGTCAAATATAGTTGACATCCATCGCTTCGTTACAGAGAAGAGATTGATTAAAGCAATATAGCCAAATGAACATTTTTGGTCCCGCCTTTAGCCCCCTCGGGAGTCAGCCGCACCATTCGTACAACTTTAAATCCCAATCACCTAGCGATGTTTCTAGCAAAATTAAGTTAAATTCCAAATTGTTGAAATACAGACGACGAACGGACGACGGACGCCACATAGACGTATCAACCCATCCAAGATGGCGGCACGGTATAGAGGTCATAGGGGAGACAAATCTCGCGCCAATGTAAACAAATTTGACAGTTCGACATTGAGACGGGCCACGTAACCGACATGATTTAGATTTAGATTCACGCTTATTGTTTGTATTGAACGTCATATATAGTATACACAATGGATCCTGGGGAATAAAATCTAACTTTAGATGATTTTATAACACGGAAACTTCCCGCTTAACGTGATTTTGTTTTTACCATGCGCGGTTTGTCAACAGTCGAAAGTAAGAAAGAGCTCTCGACATTATGTTTCGCTGCATTTACGATGAAGCTACCACTTGTCCAAACTGGTGCCTGTATTTTAAAACAAAATCAGGAAGATTACTTTAAATTGTTAATTATATGTAGATGATGGACATATACCGGACCCATTGTTATTACACACTGGGTGGGTCGAGGAGAAACTGGGGTTGTCAAAGTGGCCCCTGTTTATGTCACCAGACAATCGTCGACTGCTGTTTACACTTTTCTTAATCACTATAAAAATCGAAGAGTCTTACGAGTACTTTCAGTCTGGTTACCTTCCGGAAGTTTACTACCATTCCATATCAACTGCATCAAAGGTTTTTGAAATTCTGATTGTAAATTGAGATAAAAATCATATAAAAAAGGGTATTGCTATTAAAAATGTATACGATTTTTTATCTCAATTTACAGTCAGAATTTCCAAATCTTTTGACTGCATCGACTAACTGTATTTTGTCAGCCAAATGTACACCGTCACAGAATCGAAAATGAAGGACGATTCATAGTGTTGGTTTGCTGTTGCAGGGAAAGTGGAGCAGTACAATCGGCTTACTGTACTGTACCTGTGCAGCAATAATGATATGAAATAGATATAATCGCCTATGAAACCCAGTACCTGTTGATATTGATTGTGTAATGTTTAAATTAAACCATAAGTTAACGTTCTATTTATCATTTGAATGCAAACTAAATGCTAAATAGTGATTCATACCCTATGGACAATAAAACTATGTAAATTGTCTAAAATATATCAGTTATATCAGCTATTTTAATTAGTATTTAATAATATAAAGCATTGCTTATAAATATTGTCCTGTTCATAGCACTTGTCATTAACATGTTACAGATTGGGGTGTGTTCAAGGTTTTGTTCCTGTAAGCTTTCAGTCTATTTACACACACCTGTAAGCTTCCAGTCTATTTACAAACACCCATAAGCTTTCAGTCTATTTACAAACACCTGTAAGCTTCCAGTCTATTTACAAACACCTGTAAGCTTTCAGTCTATTTACAAACACCAATCACTCTATATATTGTCAATCCGAGGACAGCTTGCCATCATAGGGAGAAAGTATTAAGTCTGACCTTTATGTATACATATGTTATGGCAAAAACACAGAGAGGAGTTTATTTGACAGTTCCTACTATTTGCAAATACTTGACAGCTTGAAATTGCTTTATTGTTTTAATTTTAAAAACCAAAAGGAAAACACAGATCTGCCCGTCATGTCAGAGGCAATGGACATTTCTGTCCTGTATGTAAGCATACATTATCAAGGAAGGACATAAAGAAATATGGGGATCAATTATTGTCATCTTTGGTATCATGTTGCATGTGTACAGATGTAGAGAAAATCCTGGAATTTGGAGCAGTAGGCCATTTTTAGCAATTTTTAGTCAATATCACAAAATTAAGAGGGGCCATTCTATGTAAAATTAAAAGAAAATTGGAACATGGAGGGGTCAATGTCCCCATGGCCCCCTCACGGATAATCCCTGTAGATGAACAAGCTTGCATCATCGCAGATTAATAAATGGTCATGTCCAAAGTTCAGTGTTATGTATTGGCAGAGTTTGCAAGTTTAAAGAACAGACTTTGCAAGTTAGGCAAAATATAATA